GATTTAAAGTCTCATTACTCGAGGATTTTTTGCAGTGGACGACTTTGTAAATCATCGAAGTGTGAACACTGCAAATGTGTGTTCATTCTTTAGGGGGTGGGATTTTATTTCATAGGTAATTTGCATCAGTGACGCTGTGGGGCTCTGAGTAAACCCTCAGCACACCAGGGCAGATGGTGAGAATATTTAACTTGGCTATAGTTTGCAGTAGGGCTGTGCAATTAATCGTATTTTAATCTCGATTACGATTTTGGCTTGCAACGATTACGAAAACAACGTAATCGAAATAAAACTATTATTATTTCTATAAAAAAAAAATGTAATTAAATTTCAGGGTAATCAACTGTTAAAAACATACTGTTCACATTTTTGTTTCAATAAATGGATGTTTTCAAAGTAAATGGATAATCGTTTTTAATAATCGTGATATCAATTATTGACCAAAATAATCGTGATTAGGATTTTTGCCATAATCGCACAGCCCTAGTTTGCAGGGAAAGGATCCAACGTGAGGAATAAGGAAGGGGAGCAGGATGAATAGGTAAAATACGTTCTTGTTTTGGCAGAATAGGAGGTCCTGGTGTGACTGTTTTACTAACATAGAGCCCTCTTACTATAATTGATGCATTTTCATTAGCCATTAATCTGTAACATAAAGGAAGCTTTGGCGACACAGTGACAATAGCAGAGAATAGAGAGCAAAGAGAGAAAGTGAAGTGATATATACGTGTCGGTTTTCTCAGCCTCAAGAGGACTGGATCGTAGAAAAGAGAGACTTTGATTTACAACATCCAAGTTTAGCCAAGAACTAACCTTGTAGCATGATGGTGGCTTAAAAGGAAGTAGGACAGGAAGTGTGTTTGCTAAGGAGACCAAGATGTGGTGACATATTCCACATCTTGCATTATTATGTTCAAAGTGTCATGGTTTTGCTGATGCAGTCAACTCCAACCCTTGTTTATTGTTATTGGTATCGAACACAATCAACCTGCCAGTGGACTGTAATTGGTGTTTTTATACCCAAACATACATTTTGTTTAACGGGCACCACTATCATTTGAGTGTTTGCTGCGAGAAACAAGAAAGGCAATGACAATCAGAGCTTCCTTTACTCGTACCACAGAGGGGAAACGTACAGCAAAGTGAAGATGGAGATAAGGTCGAACACTATTAGATTAAAAAGACGCATTGCTGACAGACATGCTGGTTTTTTCCGGAGCTACTTTGACGACTTGAAGCCAGAGAACTGCTAGCCTTGTAATTATCTTAAAAGACAACGTTCATGTTGGTGTGAGGCCCGAAAAAGGACAGCTGTGTGAAACTGGACCCTGCCTTTAAGGACACATCCATGGACATTGCATGCTGGTTTTTACAGCAGGAACGTCTGACTCCAACATGTTTTTCAGACTTTAATTGAACATCTGCACGCACACCCCAATGAATGTGTCTCTGTGTGCAGGGGAAGTGCTCAATATGTCTGTGTTTGCAGAGCATCGTTCCTCCTAGATAAGACAAATCACGCTGCAAGATACCATAGAAATGTGTCTCTGTGTGCGAGTGGCTGACTTATTAGAAAAGGCTCATTGATGGTCGTTGCTGAATGAAGTGATTGTGATCTGAACTGAAAGGCCCTCAGTGACCTCAACTCACGTAAACACCACTTATTTTTAGACCCTAAAACTCTCCAACTATGACCTTGTAGGAGATTATCACTTTCCCTATGTGTTATCCAATAAGAGCCTATTCTTATCCTCCTATTTTATTATTAACAATAGTTATATATCTCATGTTTGACCTCACCATTTCCTTTAGTGAAACTGCTGCCAAGATGAGAGCAGGCCGTTCCTTTTTGAGTGCCTCTTTTAGTTTAGAAAGCAGCGTTGACTTCTTGGTACATTGTTTTTTTAAAGTCTGAACGGTCAGGATGGCACATAGGAGCAGTTTGTTATATATCCAGGGTTATATTTTCCATATTCAGTGTTATTTTGATCCAGAAAGTGCAGTTGCAAGTTGTTTTTATGTAGGACAAGAAGGCTGGGTTTCTTCTTTGTTAATCTGCTGTCTTAATATGGCCCCTTGCTAATCAATGATATTCATAACACTCATTGCATTCTACGTGGACAGGTGTATAAATGGACCGAAACAAACAAACTAAGTGTCATAAAAACAGACTTTTCCAACACAGCTTTCCACAGGAAGAGATAAAAGACATCCTTTTCCGCAACAAGAATCCATGACCTTTTGATCTTGAGCGTTTAAGACGTTGCGTGTCACAGAGTGGACTAGAGAGGGGGATTAAGAACTGAGCGGATAGATGGTATTATCTCACTTATTAGGGAACTATTGGGAGTGAACAACACAGCTTTCATGTTTCTTTGTGGTAGTTATATCAGTAATATAGCCTCCAGCAGGATGAGAGAACCCTTTGTTTCACATCATCCAACTTCTCTCTCATTTCAGGCTTTTAACATTTAAATGTTCTGCCCTCTTTCCATGCAGCTTTGACGTTTAAAGCCAAGCTACCGTTTGTTATTTTTGGATTGGTTGCTTCTGTGTCCAAAAAAGAGCTGAATATGAACACGCCCATTTTGGTTTTTAATAGATCCTCACTTTCCAGCACTCTCACATTTTCATTACAGCGTCACACAATGAAATGTAAGGTCTTGTCTTTTTTTCCTGTGACTTGCCACCACCCTCATGAACAAATGTAAGTTTAGCACCAGGCTTGTGACACATCATATGTTCGTGTCGCTGGTGTTATTTTAACTGGTTTTGATATTTAAAGATTTCACCACCATTCCCACAATGCCATTCCCCCTCTGCATTCCCGTGTCTTACGTTACTTGAATGTGATACGGGATATCTCCCCGTTGCATTTACACCGGCTTACTGTAGTTATTGGAGAAGGCTTTGCCGATATTAAAGGAAATTGCTTTTGACCCAAACATACTTGGAAATCTTCCTCTGTCAATTCTCGAACGACAGGATTTGCTGCACAGACGGTTTCCAAACACGGTCTCCAAAGTACACACAAATAAGTAGAAACGGACCAATACTGACGGTGTATAAAACTCTATAAAGTCTAAACTCCTGTGCCTGTGACTCTCCGCCAAGCCCAACATTGTTGTACAGAAAAACTGGAACCTGTATTGTTTAATTTGGACTTGTAATACTGAAATGTTCATGCCAGCTTTAATGAAACTAATTGAGCAGTTTGATCCAAAAACAAGCGACAAAAAATGTAGTTTTCTCACACAAATAAACACAGACAGTATGCTCTTGGATTCCCTTTCAATTCCTCTCTCTCCGAACCTCATTTAAACCGAGATTACTACGACCCAAATCTGGATCCTGTCCAAACTCCAGGGATCCTCAAGCTTTTTTGCCCCTGGCATCTGTCAAGTGAAGCTCTCCGGTCTTAATATCATGACATTCACACGGGATGTCCGTCAGTCTGTTTGTGTCCTCGCTATTTCACAGCAGAATCACGTTGGACAGCTTGTGATCCACTAGAATGGTTGTTCCTTGAGGCCTGAGTGTGTGTGTGTGTGTGCAGTAAGTGTGTGTGTGTGTGTGTGTGTGTGTGTGTGTGGGTGTGTCCCTACAGACCACACAGAAACAGATGGACACACGGTAGCCAGATGGTGACAGACTCACACCTTAACCTTCACCGCTCTGATTCCTCTCCTCCTCATTTCTCCTCTCTGCATTCTTCACCAGCTCCTTTTCCAACTAAAGATTACATTACATTCAACAGTATTGTCATTGCATTAAGAGTACAACGAAATGCAGTAGGCATCCAACCAGAAAGTGCAAAGAGTATTAAAGGTGGCAAGAGGTTTCAAGAACAATTTATTAGTCAATATGAATAGCCTGATATGACATCTACTTGCTCTGCACATGCTAACGTATTTGTGTTTTTAAATGTCCTGCATTGTCCTCTTTTCTAGACTTCTAAAATACATTATTTAGTGAAACTGAAAGAGGAGAAGTGTGTAAAATATACAGTATCTACTATAATTATATCTTCTGTAAAAGTAAGGAATGCTTGCCATCCTGTAACTACATCTTCACTTTACTAGCGCCTCATAAGCCTCCCTGAATGTATAATGGTACGCTGTAACTCTTCAGGGACGTACCATTTAGTTTGAACGGGAAATTATTCTGGGCTAATTCTGGGTTTACCTCCACGTCTGTGTCTATTTTGGAAACCCCAAATCCAACGGTATATTCATGATAACAGAGAAATGCATACTCTACGTTACCAGCATCAGGTATAGCTGCATCATTAGACACAGAACACACACACACACACACACACACACACACACACACACACACACACACACACACACACACACACACACACACACACACACACACACACACACACACACACACACACACACACACACACACACACACACACACCACACACACACACACACACACACACACACACACACACACACACACACACACACACACACACACACACACACACACACTTTTCCTGAAGCATTGTGGTTGTTTCCGAGCATTCCCAGCTGAGCTTGAGCCTCCAGCTATTCATTAGACCTGGACCTCGCAGGAAGGTCAAAGGTCAGCAGCTCGTTAAGTGAGGAGAAGCTCGTTAGAGGAAATGGCATCCACAGGTCAAGCTTTATTTTCAGTGTCTCTCACCTCTTCTGCTTCTTTTTTAAGGGGGCTCTAATATGGTAATTATCAGGTTTCATATTTGTAATTTGTACGAGAGAAACTCCTTCAAGGATTAAAGCCTTTGCAGAACATGAATTAAAACCCATATAACACACTACAGGGAAGGGAACACCCCCCAAAAAACATAACATTTAAATACAGATATCCAGAAAGGTAGATAACACACTTCAAATCACTTCTCTAAAACCTCACAATCCAGTTATCAGCACTTTCCCGAATGAGATGCTGCACCCTCTTTTGTTTAAATCTAATTATTTGTTTCCACCTCTCTCCTCTCGCAGCAACGCTCTCCCGGCAAAGCGCTGTTCGACCTGGTGTGTGTCCATCTCAACGTGGTGGAGGGAGACTACTTCGGACTGGAATACCAGGACCATCGCAAGATGATGGTGAGACACACCTCTCCAGTTGAATGTATATCGTCCACTATGTGTCTGTCCCTTTAGTAGATATAAGAGGGTATCTTAATGTATTCTGTATAGTGTCTAGATACTCTTCTGAATATGTCTTTTCTACTGTATCCTTTTCTACTGTCATTATGATTACCTAAAACATGTACATAAATAGTATTTCTCAGCTATTTCATGTCCCTTTTCTGAAGAGAATTCATATGATAAACAATTATCTCTGTTATATTTTCCCTGGTTTGAAAGACCACATGACTTAGGCAGATCTGCATTAAGCATGTCAACTGTTTTTACAGTACATTCGGAGGTTTTACCGCCACGTCTCCAATTAGCTCGGAGCAAGGTTTCCTTCCCGCAAGTTAACTCTAGTTTTAATCACATGGGTCGCCGTTCTGCACGCATTCAGCCTCGTGAAACTTCTTTACTTTCATCTGTGTGGATTTAAGCATTCACCTGCAGTCTGTCTCTCCACCTATTTCATGCAGACTGCAGCTGGTTGTAATCATTTGCAGATGCTTTTGTCTCTTGTCTTGCTTGTAAAATCTGCATTAGTGCATGTAAACGCTAGTTAGCAGTCGGGCCTATTCACGCCCTCGATATGCAATACAAATACTTCAGTGTGCTGAAACACAGGACTCTCACTGTGCATGCGAGTGCCTCGGGCAATACAAACCAATTGGAACAAATGATGTAATGCTGCAGAAATAAGGACAACTTTGTCAGCCTGTCACTCAAATACATACGGCTATACATTGAGTGCATAACTGATGTTTTTTATGGTCGTTAGTGTGAATTTTATAGGTGTAATAAATAACCCACAGTCAAATATACTCCCATATCAAAAGCCACACGCTGCATTTTAAGGAATGACATTTTACCGTTTGTAAACTGGAGATTTGTCTTTATTTCTTTCAGTTAATTTACTCTAATAAATGTGAAATGCTCACCTAGAGATCATTCTAGTAGGTGCAAAGCAAGTCATCTACATGCATATATGGGACCAACATCTTAACAGAAGTACAGAGTCATTTTGACAGCTGAATTTCAGTAAAGAAAATCTTAAAATTCCACTTTTTTATGTTTTAGAAGTTAAAATAAACTAAGCTGTGTTTTTTGCAGGTGTGGCTGGATTTGTTGAAGCCGACGCTCAAACAGCTCAGACGTAAGTATGACACAAACACACAAGGGTGTAACTTTGGTTGGAGAAGTGGGGGGGACACAAAACAGGGGGTCCTCCGCAATGAAACATTTTCTCGATTTAATTCCATTTCCTGCCTTTCTACAAATATATTAGGGACTATAGTGTTAACAAATCCAAGAAAAATGTGTAGTGTATATAATGAGTGTGCACACTTATCTAGTATCCTATCCATGTGAACCTGTTTTACGACAGGAGAGAGCTCTCCCTCTCCTTATTGTTGAAACAGCTTCTAATCTAGGTTAGCTCCGGGCTAGCACCAGATGCTAACAACAACCCACGTAACTCTCTAAGTCTCTCTCTCTCTCTCTCTCTCTCTCTCTCTCTCTCTCTCTCTCTCTCTCTCTCTCTCTCTCTCTCTCTCTCTCTCTCTCTCTCTCTCTGTCTCTCTCTCTATATATATTTGTCTGTCTCTCTCTCACTCTCTCAAAGTCCGACAGGAAAGAGCTCTCCCTCTCCTTATTGTTGAAACAGCTACTAATCTCCATTAGCTCCGGGCTAGCACCAGATGCTAACAACAACCCACGTAACTCTCTCTGTCTCTCTCTCTATATATTTGTCTGTCTCTCTCTCAGTCTCTCAAAGTCCGACAGGAAAGAGCTCTCCCTCTCCTTATTGTTGAAACAGCTACTAATCTCCGTTAGCTCCGAGCTAGCACCAAATGCTAACAACAACCCCCTCTCTCTCTCTTTCTATCTCTCTCTCACAAGATGCGCTCGTGCCACACACACAGACGCTCCTCCTTGACGATGACCGCTTGCGTAAAAAAATAATAATAAACACATTTAAAAAGTGGGGGGGACACAAATGGGATTTTGAAAAGTGGGAAATTACGCCCATGCAAACACAACATATGATGCTACATTTTTAGTTCCCGAATTAAATCCAGGTTAAAACCTATAATATATGAAAGTATGTTTGTGCTTTTCTGCATCTCCTCCCTCTCCCACGGTCTCTTCCCTATCAATCATCTCCTTTCCTTCTCCTTCTCCAGGACCTAAAAACACCATCCTTCGCTTCGTGGTGAAGTTCTTTCCTCCCGACCACACGCAGCTCTTGGAGGAACTGACTCGGTAAGGAACTTCTGCGATTAAAAAGTCGAGTTGTTTTTGCTTTTGGTCTTCCGTCCTTCCCCGAGTGTTTTTCAGTCCTTCAGGAGGACTTTCACAGCTGTGTTTACGTGCAAAGCAAAGGGCCTTTTTACAAACTGTTTGCGTCTTGTTTTGTCACCCGAATGAACCCAAACAAAGTGTTGGTGTGTCATCTGGAAACCAGGACTCTTGATTTTATTGCAGACCAGCTGAAAGGAGCTCTGAAAAACAGGCTTTTTCACTGTTAAAAGACTTCTGTTGCTTTGGACATATTTTAACTTCATATCAATCTCCGACATCCAGCTGTATTTGGAGGAACATAATTAGCATTTATAGATTGTATTATAAGGGAAAAAGGTGTTTCTCCATTTGCGTCCTTTTCAACTCCTCGTACAGAAAGTATAATCAGCATTCTTTAAAAGCAATATCATTCAATTTCATATCATATAACACTTTCTAGGGTCTGTTTTTATTCACTAATTAAGATTTTCAATAACACAAATAATGCTAAAACCGATTAATCATCATGTTTCTTTTCTAGTATTTCCCAGCAGTGTAGATCAATCATCCCTAATTCTATTATTACACTAAACTGATGCTTCCTGAAGTATTTAAACTGCACAGATCTTGACAAGCACGAGGTTTTTAATGTTATCGAGGCTTTGATTTGACTTCATCCTCCCTTTTGAAATTGCAGCAGCTGTGTTATGTTACTGCAGGAAATGCAATGCATGCCTCAAAGAGGGCAGAGCAGACGTCTTTGAATACTTTCCACTGACGTTGTTGGCATTTCAGACGGCCACTTTATTCCACTGATCTCATATCGAGTGTTAAACAGGAAGTGGGCACTCTCCTTTGTTTCACTCCCACAGCATCGCACTGGGTTTTCTTTAAAGGTTAATGTACGGACACAATATGTAGATGGACAGATTGATTTGAAGATGTGTTGGCCTGTTATCAACAATAGGACACTCGTCGCTCCGATATAATGGATGAAAGGTCTGATATAGATGAACAAGAAAGGAAATGCAGATGATTTTTGTTGTATTTCATGTTGTTATAATTGTATTTGCTTTAATAAGCGTGATGTAGTGTTCTTAAATAGTCCAAATGACTCCAGGCTAAAATAAAAATATATGAAAAGTCGCCAAAAGCCTCATTAAATGTATTGGAGAGATAATCATGCGGTTGTAAAAAAGGTTAAATTGGAGACACATAAAAAGCTGTTGTGGATCATTAATCACACACACACACACACACGCACACACACACACACACACACACACACAGACACACCAAGATTTATGGAGTGTGTGTGCTTTGTCCTTGGGCTCATTGTAGGTTCCTAAGTTAGCTTTCTGACACGGTTCTTTTAGTGTGTGTGTGTGTGTGTGTGTGTGTGTGTGTGTGTGTGTGTGTGTGTGTGTGTGTGTGTGTGTGTGTGTGTGTGTGTGTGTGTGTGTGTGTGTGTGTGTGTGTGTGTGTGTGTGTGTGTGTGTGTGTGTGTGTGTGTGTGTGTGTGTGTGTGTGTGTGTGTGTGTGTGTGTGTGTGTGTGTGTGTGTGTGTGTGTGTGTGTGTGTGTGTGTGTGTGTGTGTGTGTGTGTGTGTGTGTGTGTGTGTGTGTGTGTGTGTGTGTGTGTGTGTGTGTGTGTGTGTGTGTGTGTGTGTGTGTGTGTGTGATGTAGCCGGTTGTATAACGACTAACAGAAAAAGGCCATGTTTTCTTATTTTCTCTCTCTCTCTCTCTCTCTCTCTCTCTCTCTCTCTCTCTCTCTCTCTCTCCCCCTCTCTCTCTCCCTCTCCAGGTATCTGTTTGCCCTGCAGATTAAACGCGACCTGGCCTGCGGTCATCTCATCTGCAACGACACCAGCGCCGCTCTCATGGTCTCACACATCATTCAGTGTAAGAGCAACACACACATGCAGTCGCCGGTGAAATAACATACAAAACAACTTCCTTGATATCATCACATCAAATCAAAGTTTATTTATATAGCCCAATATCACATGACATGTTTGTATCAGTGGGTGTTTACAGATTAATAGACATAGATGAGTGTAAAAGACACACACACACACACACACACACACACACACACACACACTCCTGCAAACCCAGTGACTGACTCTTAATCACCACACACACACAAATGACGTATATTAATTTCAGCAGCACTAGTGTGTGTCTAGTCTCATTTTAAAGCTGTTTATTGAACCCTCCACACTTCCACTAATGGGGAAATGATAATCTGATAATCTTATGTTTGGGTTTGGCTCAGGCTCACACCAGCAGATTTCTAGCAGCATGAGACCCTGATCCGTCTGTTTCTCTCATTATTTCACCGACATAAAGCTTAGAATTAAACAAACACTTTATTTATTTCCATCCCCCCTGCATCTCTCCGTCTCTCCATCATTGTTATTCAGCACCATATGTTAAGGATGTTGGATTTATGGATTCAATTCAGACTTCTTGCAGACGGCTGGTGCACAGCATGCTGCACGAATATCACTCGGTTGCCTAGTAACTATAGCCAGTAACTATAGCCAGTAAACGCATCAGCACACACAGATGTAAGGAATAACAGTATAGAAACGGGGTAAAAACAACCTGTATATTTTTCTTTTTTGACTGATTCCTGTTTCCTTTGCACTCTGGATATTTTATCTCCTCATCCCCTTTCTTCTCCAAATAAATATTGAGTCTTTTCCTCCCCTTCCAGCTGAGATTGGAGATTTCGACGAGACCCAGAGCTGGCAGCATCTCCTGCACAATAAGTATCTGCCGGATCAGGACGCCATCAGAGACAAGATCACCGACTGCCACCGCAAGCATGTGTGAGTTAAAACATACGTGTTCACACATGCATGTACTGAATGTAGTATGTACAGTATGTGGATAAAAGGAGAGCATTCTACATGGTGGTAAAAAGTGCTATGGGATAAGGTTGAAATGTCAATAAGAAACAATCAATGGATAATGTATAGTATATGCAGATTGACTATGAGACACAATTTAGGAAATGCACATTTTAAATGCATGAATCCCATATATACAGGTCATGAAAAAGCAAAGCTACCTAATTAAAAAGTTACTTAATCAGGATTGTTTACTGGTAAATAGCTTGTCATGATTATCCTCATGTAAAACAATGCTTTAGCCTTCAGTGTGTGTGTGTGTGTGTGTGTGGCTTTAAGGTGTCGGAAGAAATAGTTTTTAACGTAAACACACACCGAGATGTTTATCAGTGTATTCAAATGTGCTCTCCAAACAAACCCAACCCATAAGTCTCCCCCCTGCAGAGATGGTTATCTCTTTAAACCACAACTGCTCTCACTCACACACACACACACACACACACACACACACACACACACACACACACACACACACACGCACACACTTTAATCCCTTCCCCGCAGAGGTGGCTATCTGCAAACATGCAACATTACACCCCTCCGTGCCCTTGGGACAACACATTAACACAGTAAATTAAACAGCTTTGAGATACTTTTTGTACTTTCACTTGAGTAACATTTTGAATGCAGGACTTTTACTTGTAACTGAGTATTCCTACACTCTGGTACTTCTACTTTTACTCAAGTACAACATCTGAGTCCTTCTCCCACCTCTCTAGCTGTGCTTTCACTTCCACTGTTTGCAAAAAAAATGCATTTCCTTGTTTTTTTTATCGATGCAAATTCCCCTAAAACCTGTACTTAACCACAGATAAGCTAACCACCACAGTTTGCACCCCACACTCTTTTCTGTGGGCTCCCCCTCCTCCTCATCTTCAATCGTTCAGCCTTTCCAAGCCCCTCATAGGAAGGAAGTGGCTAATTCAGCCGATCATACAGGAAACAGGAAGTTATTTCCACATTTGTAGGGAAACACGCTTCTGTTGTGACAGACTTCTCTCCCGCCCACAGTGGGTGATCGCCCTCTGATCTCATGGTGTGTTTTCATTACTGTTTGTTGTTTTTACAATCACAGTAAATCTGCAAAAGAAACATGGAACACCTGGTACATGAAATACCAACAAAGAAGAAACTCAAATGGTGGATCTTAGAATAGCATCTTATGATTGTTTTATCTCGTCCCCAGCGGACAGACTCCTGCAGAATCGGACTACCAGCTGCTGGAAATCGCCCGGCGTTTGGAGATGTACGGCGTTCGTCTTCATCCGGCCAAAGACCGAGAGGGAACCAAACTCAGTCTGGCCGTGGCGCACATCGGCGTGCTGGTTTTCCAGGTAAATGCATCGATATCTGATCCATATTTTGTAGTCATTTGTTTTTTTGTGGCATGCTTCCAATAATACACATTTTTTACACAACTTGTTTAAGAAATTGTGATTTATTTTAATGTAATGCACCATATACACCAAGGGGAATTCCTCCTATGCATTAGCAACTTGGCAATAAACCTGTTTCTGATTCTGAACATGTTGACGTTCCACCTTGTAAGATAATGCAAGTTTTTCATGCCTATTCATCTCCTAAATATCTTCTTCTTTATTAAAGGGGTACACAAAAATTAACGCCTTCAACTGGTCCAAGGTTCGCAAACTCAGCTTCAAACGCAAACGGTTTCTAATCAAGCTGAGAGCAGACCCCGCTGTAAGTTACGCGACACTTCCTCCATCCTTTTCATTCTTTATTTCCCACCTTCCCTCCATATGAAACGTATCTTTACCTCTTCCAGCAAAGCGCCCATCACGACACGCTGGAGTTCGCCATGGCCAGCAGGGATTGCTGTAAGATCTTCTGGAAGATCTGCGTAGAATATCACGCCTTCTTCAGACTCTTCGAGGAGCCGAAGCCCAAACCCAAACCCATCCTCTTCACCAGAGGGTCCTCGTTCCGCTTCAGGTAAGGAGAGGACGGGGAAAGAAAGGGATCTGACATTACAAAGTTTGCATTATGTTAGAAAACTCACTCGTCACCGGCTTGAGCTTCAATCTCAGGATCCATGTATTTGTGATCCTCTCCAGAATGGAAGTAGTCATCACATACAGAGCATCAACTAGTTCCTGAACAGTGTCCTTCACATGCTGATATCCAAGAGAGGGAGTTACACAGTCACAAGATGGAGGAATAGAAAGCAGTACATCCTGTCACGTACAAAATTCTCAAAATTCTGACTTTTTCTCAAAATTCTGACTTTTTCTCAAAAATCTAAAAAATCAGACTTTTTCTCAAAAATCTCAAAAATCAGACTTTTTCTCAAAAATCTCAAAAATCAGACTTTTTCTCAAAAAAATCAGACTTTTTCTCAAAAATCTGACTTTTTCTCAAAGATCAAAAAAATCTGACTTTTTCTCAAAAATCTGACTTTTTCTGAATACTTAAAAATGTTAATAATCCCTGGTCCCTGGCTTGATCTTCAATCTCAGGATCCATGTATCTGTGATCCTCTCCAGAATGGAAGTAGTCATCACATACAGAGCATCAACTAGTTCCTGAACAGTGTCCTTCACATGCTGATATCCAAGAGAGGGAGTTACACAGTCACAAGATGGAGGAATAGAAAGCAGTATTCAATGTTTACTTCAGATTAGCTCCACGTCAGAAATGAGCATGCTTGTCATATGTCTATCTCCATAGAGGCTGAATCATCATGTTAATCACATAGCTATCATATGCCTCAAACAGTCCTGATGCTCTTCTAGGTAATCACACATCCTGTCATGTTCACAGCTACAGTTGATTTATAACCCTTGATAATATAGTCTGTGTGTATGTTATCTGAAATAAGACATTTTCTAATCTTAACGGCACTTATCTGGTTAAATAATTATATGAAAACACGTTTCAGCAATGCACCAAGAGATACAAAAAGGAAAGTAAAAGAGAATACATGTCCAAAACAGCTCACATATGAGGATTTGCAGAATGAACTTAAACAGATGTTGGCATTACTGGAATATGTAACAACCTAAAACATAAAGAATAGTAGTAGCAAATAAAGAGACATGTCATAATGTAAGACTCCATGTTGGCTTTGAGCAGATTCTTCAGGTGTTTAAGATGCAGAAGTGTCTCTGGCTTTATTGAAACTCTTTGGACTTTGTTACTGCTGAGTACATCGGCTCAATAATCAATTCACTGTCAGAGATTATCTGTAAAACACACTGTTGTTTAAAGATCAGTGAAGATGTGAAAGGTCATTCAACAGCACAGACAGTATGTGGAGATACAGTTGGGATACCTTTGTTATCATGTGGACTCTGATATTGGATGAATGCATACATGTCAGTGTTGCACTTGGTAAAGGAGGGGATTCTTTAAATGAGTTGATATGCATGACATGTGACTTGTTAGACGCTTTTATCCAAAGTGACTAACATACTCAATACTGTGTGTCCCCCTTGATTTCTCCCTTTGTTCCTGCAGCGGTCGAACCCAAAAGCAGATCATCGATTATGTAAAAGACACGGAGCTCAAGAAAGTTCCATTTGAGAGGTGAAACTTTTCATCTTCATTCACAGACAACACGATCACATTTCTGATTATTTTAACCCAGTTTGACTTCATCTCAGCCTTCCTCTCTTCTTCCAGGAAACACAGTAAGATCCTGTCCAACAGCGGCATGGCGCCTCAGTCGTCTTCCTTCAGAACACACGTGCCAAAAGAGGTGAATACACACTTTCACACACACACACGGGTTGGGATTTCAAAGTCAAAGTGAACTTTATTATCAATTGTCAAAAGACAGAGAGATCGACAGATTGTTTCCCACAATCCTGAACACAAAAACAAATGTATATAAAAATATGTATATACCCATATATACACATTTATACATATGCACAAATTAAGACATACATAAAAGCACACCAATCAATATATACAAAATAACAGTCACTTCAAATATCTTGTGTGCTTCAAACCTTTATTTACACACACACACACGTTGGGATTTCACAGGTGAAACGTCCAACATTTGACCTCCATGCGTTCCAGTAGATAGATAGATAGATAGATAGATAGATAGACAGACAGACAGACAGACAGACAGACAGATAGATAGATAGATAGATAGATAGATAGATAGATAGATAGATAGATAGATAGATAGATAGACAGACAGATAGACCGATAGATAGATAGATAGATAGATAGACAGACAGATAGACCGATAGATAGATAGATAGATAGATAGATAGATAGACAGATAGATAGATAGATAGATAGACAGACAGATAGACCGATAGATAGATAGATAGACAGACAGATAGACCGATAGATAGATAGATAGATAGATAGATAGATAGATAGATAGATAGACAGATAGATAGATAGATAGATAGACAGACAGATAGACCGATAGATAGATAGATAGACAGACAGATAGACCGATAGTTAGATAGACAGACAGACAGACAGACAGACAGATAGATAGATAGATAGATAGATAGACAGACAGATAGATAGATAGATAGATAGATAGATAGATAGACAGATAGATAGATAGATAGATAGACAGACAGATAGACCGATAGATAGATAGATAGATAGACAGACAGATAGACAGACAGACTGATAAGTACTTTATTGATCCCAATTTAGGAATTTTTTGCGCGTTTTTCCCGAGAGCACGAAATCAAACATGGCAACTTCTTCAGCAAGTTTATTCCTGAATAACTTTTGTGCTTCTTCCCCCTTTTTTCCTTTTTTCTCACCCATTTCCTCCTCCACAGAGTGCCATGTCTGTGCAGTCATCAGACCAGCCCGACTCCTCCAGACTCGGCCCTCGAGGCGAGTGTAACGGCTCAGAGGATCCACCGGGGGCGACATCCAACACCAACGGTTTCCACGATGAACCCACGGCGCCCAAATCAGACCCGACTCAATCCAAACAGAATCATAACGGCGGCGGATCGGCATCGGACCGTCAGTTCCTGAACCCAGGTCCATCCTGCAGGGCTAACAAAGGCAGCAGCTCTTCTATTCCTTACATAGACTGCAGCGACATAGACAGTGAATGTGATGTGACAAAGAACAGCAGGGGCCACAGCGGGGCAAATGACAGCAAAGCGGTTGAGCCTAGTGTATATAATATTAATAATAAGCATGGGGGGCAAGCAGGGAGTCTGTTTGGGGCTGTAAACGGGTTCTACCACACCAATCACCAGGGGCTGATGCAGCAGCAGCAGCAAGGTGTTCTGGGTAACAGAAGTGCCGTAGATCCTAACAAGTTTAGTCACGAGATAACAGACGATGAAATGGTGCCGAACGGCGGTTCATTTCACGGTCGTCTCCCGCTCCACAGCACGCTCCTGGATGAAGTGTTTCACGGGCGAGAAAAGCAGGTTTTAGGGCGGGCGTTTGGAAACGGGACGAGAAGTCAGTGCTCCAGCCCGGTGATCGGCAGCTTCCACCACCGCACAAACTCCCTCAGTCACGCCGAGATGACGAACGATCAGTCGCATTATTTCGTTAAGCGTACCGGAGTTTTCCCAGTTGAAGCTCCCAGCGTTCCGACACCTCCTCAGGCTCAGATCCACTACGGTAGCTACTCCCCGATCACCTCGAACCGCACACATTTCGCCAAACCACATCTCAACAACAACGCGCGAAATCGCTCAGACACAGATCCGTTTATTCTCAGCCAATTAACATCCACACCTGTGCACCAACACACCCCTCATCGCTCTGCGTTGCACGTCCAAGCGCCGTGTTCGGCCCCGATGGAGCGCAGAACGATTGTAACGAACGGGAATCACGCGGGAAATCACGGTCAGGCGCGAACAAACACCGTTCAGCGGCTGTTTGGACGTCAGGGAAAACCCGGTACAAACCCCACGCGTGACAATCACAACAATATAAACGCGCCGGTTCAAATGATCGACGTATCCACAAGCAGCGGCTCTGGATCCGAAACCAGCGACGAAGAAGAGTCGGAAACCGGCAGCAGCGGCGCTTACAGCCACCCGCTAATGTACGGGAATCCCGCCGCGGTTAACTCCTTGAATTCCGTGAACTCGAACGGCGTGAACTCGTCCCCGATTGGTCGTAATAAGTTCTCTTTCGGGCTGGAAGAGGGGGAGAACGGGGAGAGAGAGGAGAGGGAAGGAGGTCGTTATCGCTTTAACGAGGAAGACGTAGGAGGGCGGGTTTTCAGCTGTTGAAGGGTGGAGATATGCACGTAGTTTTGCCATCTCCTTATGTAACAATCTCAGTTTAGTGTAGTACAGATACTGTGCTGGTTGTGTGTAAGCTACGTTAATAGAAGAAATACTCGCGATATTATACTAGTCCACGTTTCCTCTAGCTGTGATACACCTTTTATAAACAAACGCATAGTTTTGGAGTTTGAAAATTGAATTTTTTGACATATTTTGTAGGTTTTTTAACTCAGATCTCTGCCCTTCTTGTAAGATGAATTTATAATACTTCCTTTCATTTTTAAAAACCCCCAAAATCCTTGTTTTTGTATTGAATTTTTTTATGCCAAACTGCTGTTACACATAACAAATGGCTTTTTGTCAAAAGGAGAATCAATACTAGATTTAAAACATCAAGTAACCCTCCTTAAAATGTGCCATAATCTAAAACAATGTAAATTCAGTGTTCTTATATATATGCAAAAGTCTCATTATGTAGGAAATGGTGCTGGAAATCTGAAGGATTATTATCACATAGAGAATAGTTGCTAATTTCCGCAATTAGTGATATAACTTTATTCTGTTTAGGATGATTTAAAGTTAAATGTAAATGCATGTTATTGCGATATTAAGGTGTTGAAGAAAACTGATTTTATGGTGGTTTGCTTTCTGCCTTTCGTGGTCTTATCCCCGTTTGTTGTGATAACATTTAGCGTTCCTTGTGTAGAAGTTTCTCTAAATCTCACTTTTATAATTCTATCACTGTCGTCTCGTGCAATAGGAGGACTTTAAGGTGATAGCTGGGGTTCATGAAGGGATTGATTAATTGTACAGAATCGTCTTGGTAGACAATGAATTGTAGAATAATTTGGTAGTTAAATGCGAGGGTGTTTCTCGTTCGTTTTTTAGAGCACTTTTTCATTGGATTCCTGTCATTGTGGGTGACTTGCACTGTGCTTTGGATGTTTGTTGTAGTATTTCTCAATATCTCAAATAGATTTGCATCAACTAAATGTTAGGGAGAGAATGAAGAACCCCCTTTTTATAATTGTATTTTTGATACAGGTCTTTTCCCTTTTCTATCCTCGCACAGAATCACACACATCGTCCTTAAACATGCGACCGTCCACAGCGTTCTGCTTTGCTTTGCTCGGCCCCTGGCATGCTTTAGAAAAAACACGGTTCACTTTCTTTGGATGCTGTCCTCTTTTTGTTGAAGGTGTTGTTGGCACTGCATCCCAACCACTGTCATTTGCATTCACTGCTTATTTTCTTTACCTAGCAATGCAAATGATATTGTTAATCGGCATATGTGCATGTCGTATTTAGGCTCGGTGCATAAAAAGACTAATTTAAACTGTACATATTCATGATTTTAGGAAGCTAATCTGAGCAGGGTTTCTTTACTCCTGCTTACGGAGCTTTAGTGTGATTTAAAATCTACTAAGTGACTTAACTTGGACTCTATTTTATCACCTCATGTGTAGTCCCTTTCCTAAAGCCAAACCTTTTCTTTCCTCGGAGCAAAATGTTCATGCTTTTGTAAATGCACTGTTTTACGCATGTCACTGGGAACTGTTTTCTTTTCTTCTCACACTGAATGCATGTTAACCAGGCGAGCAATGTCCCTGCTTTTCTGTCATTATGCTTATTTGATCACTTTGTGTCACGGGGCTCGAAATGGTTTCAGATGTTTGAGAAACATTCGGTGCAGTTTCACAACTTTTACAAATGTCTAGTTTCCTGTCTAGTTTCAAATGTCTAGTTTCTTCTTTACTTCTCGTGGGTTTTCACACAGTTTCATGCCTTTTTGTTACAACACTGCCACGGTTCATTTCCTGCACCCTGTCTTCTTCAAATATTCAGAAACCATTGATGTTTTCGCCCCACAGCGACACAAGGAAAAACAGGGCTGACTCAACTCCAGTGTGTTTTCTAAAAAAGAGAGAGAGAGTGAAGGTAGACGGACACAAGTGAAGTTAAATGCAAACGCAAGTGTAAAAAACAGATAGTTCAGAGAGATGTTTTTCGTAAGGTGGGAAAGTCTGAGTATTGTCAGAAGATGGACACACACACACACACGCACACACACACACACACACACACACACACGCACACGAGAACTGGAGTTGAGTATTTCACTTTCACCATTTCCATTGAGGCTTTTTGTCATTTTAATGTACAGTAACAGACTGATAGATGGTGCTTTTGTACGCTGTCATTTGTATGTTAAAGGAGTTCATCAGAGCCACATTTTTTTCTAGATTTACTTTCAATAATTGTAGTTTTATGCGGTATACACACGCAGTTATGATTTTGGGGAATGTGCCAAGAGTTATATTGAGACAGTGCTATAAAATGATTGGCAAGAATCCGAGTATTTTCCCAAATGTCGGACTATTTTCTTTTAATTTTAAGCATCACTTAACACACGTTTTACTGACTGACCTCTTTTGAAGGAATGAACCGGCTTTCTGGCGATTCTTACGTTCTGATTTGAAGGTTGGGGGCTAAAGCATATTATAGCAAAGAATACTGGAAAGGCTGCCAGAAAAAGTCTCTTTTATTCCTCTCAAAAGAAAGGGCTTCTGTAAACGCACACTATAAGACTCACTGGTTTTCACTCTTGTAACACCTGTCCTTTTTATTTCCATTAAAAAACACCTTTTACATTTCTTGTCTTTTAAAGGTTTATTTCTTTGCCCTCCTCTCCTTTTAACACTGTAACTGTGTGCACTAGTGTCAATAAAAAAACGACCTTGTTTGTTGGAAAGAAAAAGGGACTCCAGCATTTTCTGTAGAGAAAGAAACCCCTCAAACTCCCTCCCATTTCCCCTTAGTTGTGCCTTAATTGTGCCTCCCCATCCCCTCCCATGTGTTGTGTTAGCTAGTCGTAGAGTAGAGGTTTTGTTTCGGTGATTTGACCCGTCTGTGTTGCATGTTGTCTAGCTCGTAGTTTCACGTGTTTTTTGTCGAGTCTGTTTCGTGGCAAGTTCCTTTTTTTTATAGCACCGTCACCGGTTTTTGAGAGACAGTGGACTCTTTGGAAGCTTTGCACACGGGCAAGTATACGGTCACAACTTGTAGTAGTTTGTAGTGACTCTAGTCGTAGTGAGACGTAGCTTTGACTTATGATTCTTCTGTCGGGATAAGAGGACATTTCCACAAAAAGTTGCATTCATACCAGATCTTTTGCCGTCATCACATATCTAAAGTGCATTTTAAGGGAAGCCAATTTAGTAAATACACGTCGTCATAATGCGGCAGTAATTAGTTTTCTACCAGTGTTGAAACTATTCTTCCATTAGTCGACTCAATTATTAGTTTTTACCCTTTTAATGCACGGATATGTCTGCTTTTAATAATCCATAGCTTCTTACTAACATCTACTTACTTTGTTTCCCTTCTGATCCTTTTTTAACCATATTTTAGATGAGAATCCAAAAAGCATGGAAGCCCATTTGTGCCGAAAAGAGTCATTATAATAACGAACTGAAACTGGAGTTATTTTTAAGTCATAATTATGGAGACGTTTCTCATAATGATGACCTGCAAGATCTTTATCTTTTGGTTTGAACTGGTGTAAATAGGCTTCCATAAAAGTAGTAGTTGAACCTGGGTCTTATCTTTTCATCACCAAATACATTGGTTACTTTCAAAGGAGTCATATTATCAGAGGTGGGAGAAGTACTCAGATCTTGTACTTGAGTAAAAGTAGAAGTACTCAGATCATGTACTTGAGTAACAGTAGAAGTACTCAGATCTTGTTATTGACTTGAGTAAAAGTAGAAGTAGTCAGATCTTGTACTTGAGTAACAGTAGAAGTACTCTGATCTTGTACTTGAGTAAAAGTAGAAGTACTCTGATCTTGAGTAAAAGTAGAAGTAGTCAGATCTTGTACTTGAGTAACAGTAGAAGTACTCTGATCTTGTACTTGAGTAAAAGTAGAAGTACTCTGATCTTGAGTAAAAGTAGAAGTACTCAGATCATGTACTTGAGTAAAAGTAGAAGTACTCTGATCTTGTACTTGAGTAAAAGTAGAAGTACTCTGATCTTGTACTTGAGTAACAGTAGAAGTACTCTGATCTTGTACTTGAGTAAAAGTAGAAGTACTCAGATCATGTACTTGAGTAAAAGTAGAAGTACTCAGATCTTGTACTTGAGTAAAGTAGAAGTACTCAGATCATGTACTTGAGTAAAAGTAGAAGTACTCAGATCATGTACTTGAGTAAAAGTAGAAGTACTCAGATCTGTACTTGAGTAAAAGTAGAAGTACTCAGATCTTGTTCTTGAGTAAAAGTAGAAGTACTCAGATCTGGTACTTGAGTAAAAGTAGAAGTACTCGGATCTTGTACTTGACTTGAGTAAAAGTAGAAGTACTCAGATCATGTACTTGAGTAAAAGTAGAAGTACTCAGATCTTGTACTTGAGTAAAAGTAGAAGGACTCAGATCTTGTACTTGAGTAAAAGTAGAAGTACTCAGATCTTGTACTTGAGTAAAAGTAGAAGTACTCAGATCATGTACTTGAGTAAAAGTAGAAGTACTCAGATCTGTACTTGAGTAAAAGTAGAAGTACTCAGATCTGGTACTTGAGTAAAAGTAGAAGTACTCGGATCTTGTACTTGACTTGAGTAAAAGTAGAAGTACTCAGATCATGTACTTGAGTAAAAGTAGAAGTACTCAGATCTTGTACTTGAGTAAAAGTAGAAGTACTCAGATCTTGTACTTGAGTAAAAGTAGAAGTACTCAGATCATGTACTTGAGTAAAAGTAGAAGTACTCAGATCTTGTACTTGAGTAAAAGTAGAAGTACTCAGATCATGTACTTCAGTAAAAGTAGAAGTACTCAGATCTTGTACTTGAGTAAAAGTAGAAGTACCAGAGTGTAGGAATACTCTGTTACAGTAAAAGTCCTGCATTCAAAATGTTACTCGAGTAAAAGTAGAAAAGTATTCTCATCAAAATATACTTAAAGTACCAAAAGTATTGGCAGTGAATTTCATGAAAGCAGCATTCAGTGATTTAACTCTTCTCCTCTTCCTCCACCTTCCTCCCCCTCTCTATCTCTGACTCTTCTCCCACAGAAAGCCCCGGGTCAGAGGACTCTCCGCTGGGAAGTCCCCTTGTGGTCGTAAATGGAAACGGTTCCGTAAACGGGCCGTTGGTCGTTAACGTCGGGGGTCAAAGCCCAGAAGCTCGACATCTAGCTCCGCTCACCAGCCCGCTGCTCACCGACGCTGGATGTATCCGCAACGAGGATGAAGAAGAGGCGAGGAGGAAGGTAAGACAATAATTAACACACTATCATTAAACATATCCTAACCGAATGAAGGCACACAGATAAACAAAATTCTATATATACATACACCCATTTCCAGGGTGAGAATAAAATAACAAAGTCAAACAAATCCTACAGTATTCGTACGGTAGTCATTCGAAAGTGCATTTTAAGGCGTCTTGAATTAAACACAGAGTGTATGAGTTAGTGATTTGTTGGACTGACCTTCCCTCTTGTTTGTGTCCAGAAGTTTCCCACCGACAAGGCTTACTTCATCGCCAAGGAGCTGCTGACCACAGAGCGAACCTTCCTCAACGATCTGCAGGTCATCACGCAGGTAATATACTTATACTCTAGTTTAAAGTTGGGTCTAGAGAGAGAGAGACACACAGAGAGACACACACACAGAGACACACACACAGAGAGACACACAGAGAGACACACACACACACACAGACACACACACACACACACACACACACACAGAGACACACAGAGACACACACACAGAGAGACACACAGAGAGACACACACACAGACACACACACACACAGAGACGCACAGAGACGCACACACACAGACACACAGAGACACACAGAGACACACAGAGACACACACAGACACACACAGACACACACAGACACGCACAGAGACACACAGAGACACACACAGACACACACAGAGACACACACAGACGCACAGAGACGCACACAGACACACACACAGAGACACACAGAGACACACACAGAGACACACAGAGACACACAGAGACACACAGAGACGCACAGAGACGCACAGAGACGCACAGAGACGCACAGAGACGCACACACAGAGACACACAGAGACACACAGAGACGCACAGAGACGCACAGAGACACACAGAGACACACAGAGACGCACAGAGACGCACAGAGACGCACAGAGACGCACAGAGACGCACAGAGACGCACAGAGACGCACACACAGACACACACACAGAGACGCACAGAGACGCACAGAGACACACAGAGACACACAGAGACACACAGAGACACACAGAGACACACAGAGACAGACACACACAGACACACACAGACACACACAGAGACACACAGAGACACACAGAGACACACAGAGACACACAGAGACACACAGAGACACACAGAGACACACAGAGACACACACAGACACACAGAGACACACACAGACACACACAGAGACACACAGAGACACACAGAGACACACAGACACACACAGACACACACAGACACACACAGAGACACACAGAGACACACAGAGACACACAGAGACACACAGAGACACACAGAGACACACAGAGACACACAGAGACACGCACAGAGACACACAGAGACACGCACAGAGACACACAGAGACACACAGAGACACACACAGAGACACACAGAGACACACAGAGACACACAGAGACACGCACAGAGACGCGCACAGAGACGCACACAGACACACAGAGACGCACACAGACACACAGAGACGCACACAGAGACGCACACAGAGACGCACACAGAGACGCACAGAGACGCACAGAGACGCACAGAGACGCACAGAGACGCGCACAGAGACACACACAGAGACGCACAGAGACGCACACACACACACACACACACACACACACACACACACACACACACACACACACACACAGATCTTTGTTAAGACCAGGAGCTAATCTAAGAGTAAACACATTCCCCAAAAGACACAGGTTGGTGTCTTTTAAGCCTTTTTGCTGGAAAAGTGAGTCAAACCTGGGTAATCTATTATAAGCTTGTGTGTTGGGACGGTGAGTCACGCTGGGTTTTGTGCTGAAAACCAGGCAGTGAGTTCTGTGTTTTTACTGCCCAAATATTGGGAAAGACAAACCAAAATCCCAAGCTGACGACATTAAAATAACATGTTGCTACTCGGGCTTTCTGCTCCAGTTTTCTTTTAACTTCGCATCCCGAAAGTGGGCTTTATTGTGCATTTAGTTCAGCCCGCAACTGAGGTTCCACATTTTTCTTGTGCCAGATAAAAACACAGCTCCCAGTGAGCATATTTAACTAACTTGTGTTTCCTAAATGCTTCTTGTTTTGCACCAGAAAGCAAAGCACGTGTTTATAATTGACCTCCTTTTTCCAGCCAGCCGACTTGTATCTCGTTTGTTCTCTTTACGCCACGCAGACTATTTGCTCCGGGCGCTCCTTAGTTTACAAGTAAAACCACTGAATCAACAGAGAGGAACAAACTCTCTGCATGCATAAATAGTCTGCATATAACATCCTGTGCTGTGCAAATTTAATGTGGGTCAGACTTTGTGTTTGCCGTGATTAAACTCTGCCGTTAGTCTGGTACAAGTAAGGGGAAATCAGCAGAAAAACACACATATCAGAGACCCTATGACCTTAATGTTACCTCATTGTGGAGGGGGCTATATCATCAAATATGCAAGGATTTAAAGGTGTAATGGTCATATGCACACTAGCTACAGTTATTGCAATGAAAAGGCTCCTTAAACAATGCAACATAAACAGATATAAGACATAAAACGGGTGCAAAGAATAGAAATTAGGATGTCTTTTTCTCAGCTGCCTCGACAGTAGTTTCCACCGCTCTCTGATGTGGGACCAAGGCGTGTGCTGCCTCCTTTTTTTTAAAGCCTCTTAAATGTTTTCTTTGGCATCACTGAGATCACACACCCTTCCCTCCGTCCCTCCCCCATTTTCACCATCACCCTTCCCCTCTCTCTCTCCGTCTGTGAAACAGCTGGACGCTCTGCTCTCACTGTCATTAATCGCGTGTGATTTACTCTGAAGGGGAATATCACACCTCTGTGTCAGCGAGGGTGGAGGGTCAAAGTGTGTGTGTGTGTGTGTGTGTGTGTGTGTGTGTGTCTGGGTCAGTGTGTGTGTGTGTCTGGGTCAGTGTGTGTGTGTGTCCTCATTGTTTTTCCCAATATCGGATCAATAAAGTACATCTTATCTTATCTTATATTATGTCACGTCTTTTTTGCTGTCAAGGTTTTAAATAAAATTCCCGAAGAAAAGGACTTATAATTTGTGTATTTATTTGTTTTATAGCCTGCTTTTCTTAGACTAGGGTTGCACTAACTATTGTTTTACTGTTATGGATTATTCTGGATATTATTTGGTCATTTTATTGGCTTTTTATGACCGTCCAAAACCCCAAAACTATACTATTATTATCTCGTGAAACAAGGGTGTTTTGCTAGGAATTTTCTAGCGATCGACTTGCATTTAACATATTTAATAAATGTATTCCTGTGTTTATCTCCTTCAGTCCTTCCAGAGCGTTGCGGGGAAAGACGAGGGGCTCCCGGACTCGGTGAAGAACCTGATCGCTTCCAGTTATGATCCGATCCATACGTTTCACCAGGGATTTCTCAAAGAAGTGGAGCAGCGTCTGGCTCAGTGGTCAGTACCTGTTTCCATTCAGAAAACCCCCCAAAAAGTGGTCAAATGAATGGGATGTTCCAGTATCATGTGGTGAAAACTCAGCTGTAGCCTGACATCTAGTGGTGACTGCATGTAACTACAGAAGATCATTTATTAATTGTCTTTTTCCTTTAGGGAGGGTCGATCTAACGCCCACATTAAAGGAGACTATCAACGCATTGGTGACATTCTCCTGAAGAACATCCAGGGTCTCCGGGTAACTAAGCCTCCATCTCTACTCCATCTTTTCTGTTGCTCTCCATTATCCTTTCTATAATTAATTATAATTTTCTTTTTTGCATCTGCAGCAGTTGACGGTTCATCTTCAGAAACATTCAGAGTGTCTGGTTGAACTTGAGCGTGCCTGCAGGTAAGTGCACGGAGATAATAGAGAAGCTAACACTATTAGCTCGAGACGTTAGCTTTCCAAAGTGCAGAGATGGCAACAGTACACACATCCTTTACTCAAGTAGAAGTTCAGATACTCATGTTTAAAAATACTCTGGTGAAAGTAGAAGTACTGACTAAACTTCTTTACTCAAGTGAAAGTAAAGAACTTTGAAATGTACTTCAGTAAAAAGTACCCATAACTAGCAGCTGTTTTAAAGAGTACCTGACCTCCCTTTATATTAATAGAACAATAATGTCATTGTTAGCTAATGAATGTTTCCATGCTGAACAACGGCAACATGACAACGTTTTCATTGGTCCCTCTTCTTTAGAGAAGACCAGGAAATGATGGATACACGGATCGTGTTCAAATCAATAGGCACGCAATGACTCTAAATAATAATGATCACGCCACCAAACACACATTCAAACTAAAGGAACCAGCCTGTTTGGAAAATGTGAGAAGTAGAAAGTACAGGTATTTGAGTTCAACATGTAAGAAGTAGAAAGTACAGGTATTTGGGTTCAACATGTAAGAAGTAGAAAGTACAGGTATTTGGGTTCAACATGTAAGAAGTAGAAAGTACAGGTATTTGGGTTCAACATGTGAGAAGTAGAAAGTACAGGTATTTGTGTTCAACATGTAAGAAGTAAAAAGTACAGGTATTTGTGTTCAACATGTAAGAAGTAGAAAGTACAGGTATTTGGGTTCAACATGTAAGAAGTAGAAAGTACAGGTATTTGTGTTCAACATGTAAGAAGTAGAAAGTACAGGTATTTGTGTTCAACATGTAAGAAGTAAAAAGTACAGGTATTTGTGTTCAACATGTAAGAAGTAGAAAGTACAGGTATTTGTGTTCAACATGTAAGAAGTAGAAAGTACAGGTGTTTGGGTTCAACATGTAAGAAGTAGAAAGTACAGGTGTTTGGGTTCAACATGTAAGAAGTAGAAAGTACAGGTATTTGGGTTCAACATGTAAGAAGTAGAAAGTACAGGTATTTGTGTTCAACATGTAAGAAGTAAAAAGTACAGGTATTTGGGTTCAACATGTAAGAAGTAGAAAGTACAGGTGTTTGGGTTCAACATGTAAGAAGTAGAAAGTACAGGTGTTTGGGTTCAACATGTAAGAAGTAGAAAGTACAGGTATTTGGGTTCAACATGTAAGAAGTAGAAAGTACAGGTATTTGGGTTCAACATGTAAGAAGTATAAAGTTCAGGTATTTGGGTTCAACATGTAAGAAGTAGAAAGTACAGGTATTTGTGTTCAACATGTAAGAAGTAGAAAGTACAGGTATTTGTGTTCAACATGTAAGAAGTAGAAAGTACAGGTATTTGTGTTCAACATGTAAGAAGTAGAAAGTACAGGTATTTGGGTTCAACATGTAAGAAGTAGAAAGTACAGGTATTTGGGTTCAAAAAGTGAGAAGTAGAAAGTTCAGGTATTTGGGTTCAAAAAGTTTTACTCAAAGGGACAAATATTTAAGATAGCAGCTTCATTTTTATCCCAAATCTTGCAGGAGCCTTCTCAAAAAGCAGCTCTCTCTCTCTCTCTCTGTTCCTCAGGTCCAGTCGGAAAGTGGAGGCTGTGTGTCGGGACTTTGAGCAGCAGAGGGTCTGCTACCTGCCGCTCAACATCTTCCTCCTCCGTCCTCTTCATCGCCTGCTCCACTACAAACTGATCCTGGAGAGGCTCTGCAAACATTACCCCCCGACTCACGAGGACTTCAGGGACTCCAGAGGTACACATGGGGCTTTGTGTGTACATATCAAACGAAGTTAATCGTTAGTATAGTTATTTTTTATTCCTTAAAACATCTCCTCATTGTGTGTGTGTGTATGTGTGTGTGTGTGTGTCACATCTGTGTTGTAGTAGTTTAAAATAAAATTCCTGAAGAAAAGGACCCATATTTGGTGTATTTATTAGTTTGATAGCATGCTTTTCTTAATCTAGGGTTACACTAACTATTGTTTTACTGTCATGGGTTATTCTGGATATTATTTGGTCATTTAATTTGCTTTTTATGTCCGACCAAAAGTCCAAAACCCCAAAAATAGTTTGCTGCATGATTCTTCTTTATACTGAAAACCTCTCTTCATCCTCCTGAATGTTATTATCTAGCGGGCCTGGCGGACATCTCGGAGATGGTGCTGCAGCTGCAAGGCGCCATGATGAAGATGGAGAACTTCCAGAAGCTTCTGGAGCTGAAGAAGGATCTGACCGGCATCGAAAACCTCGCCATCCCCGGGAGGGTGAGACTCTCTTTCATCCTATCAGTGACCTTTTCTAAATACCTAAATACTGCTCGTCACTGTACAGCATTTTACATTAATGATGTCACCGTCTATGTTTCCTGTAGACATTTCATTTCTCTTTTCACTGCTCTGATAGTGTACAGGTTTATTATTATATGCTGTGTTTATTGTATCTTTGTAACTCTGGCACAACTATTTCCTTTGGGAAGTCTTACCTTACCTTACCTTACCTTACCTTATCTTATCTTATCTTATCTTATCTTATCTTACCTTATCTTACCATACCCTACACCTTACCTTACCATACCTAACCTAACCTAGTTTCCAGATGCAAATGAGTTCAGTTTCATTCAGTTTTTAAATATTCTTTATAGTATGTCTTGTGTTTTACTCACAGGAATTCATCAGGCTGGGTTGCCTCAGCAAGCTCTCAGGAAAGGGCCTCCAGCAGAGGATGTTCTTCCTGGTACGACATTACAGCGACTTTATAAATACATCTTATAACTTTAACAAGTTTTTAACAAATCTAACCTCCACTTCCTCTGCCTTTCTCTCCAGTTCAGTGATTCCTTGGTGTACACAAGTCGAGGAATGACCCCGTCAAATCAGTTTAAAGTTCACGGCCAGATGCCCCTCTACGGCATGACGGTACGAGAACATATAAAAAGCATTTTGTCTATCTTCAAGCACTTTATTGCAGGATTGATTCATACAAAACAAGTTGTCTTTCTTTATAAAAACGTCAGGCTGAAATCAATGTTTAATTTCTACGTCAGGCCTTATTTTGAACTCATATGTTTGTTTACATTGCATGCATCACTGAGGTCTGCAGCTAAAGGTGTGTGTGTCTGTGTGTGTGTGCAGATCAGAGAAAGTGAAGAGGAGTGGGGCGTGCCTCATTCCTTCACCCTGTTCGGGCAGCGGCAGTCTCTGGTGGTGGCAGCCAGGTAAGAAACGAAGAAGAAAATACAAAATTAGGCAATATGAGGGGCTAAAAATGAGTAGCAGCTGTTCAAATCTTCTCTGTGTGCGTGCAGCTGTGCGTCGGAGATGGAGCGCTGGGTGGAGGACATCAGGATGGCCATCGACCTGGCGGAGCAGAGCAGCAGCCCGACCTCCGACCTCCTGTCCACCTCCCCGACTGACAACAGTGAGTCTGATTATAAACACTGCCTTTCACTCAAAGATACTCTTGATGTGGTCCATCTGTATGTTCTAGGCATCATGCAAGTAGGACATATGGCTGAACAAAAGTGTGAGGTGTTGTTGATTGACTTTTGGTCGGACATCTGGCTTTTTATATCCGACCAGGAGTCCAAAACCCCCAAAATATACAATTTATTATCTCGTGAAACGAACAAAAAAAGGGTGTTTGACCATTTTTCTAGCCCTCGACTTAGATTAATTGCTTTTGCTGTAACTTTAAACTTGTTTAGTTATAACATCTGTATGTTATAGGCATCATACAAGTAGGACATATGGCTGAACAAGAGTGTGATAGTGTGAGGTGTTGTTTAATAAATATATGGGAAGGCCTTTGAGTTGATGATTTGAAACAGTGAGAGTGAATCAGAATCAGAACCGGTTTTATTACCAAGTAGGTTTGCACTTACGAGGCATTTGCTTTTGTGTTAATGATACATACAAAACACACAATAATAATAAATAAAATATGACAAATACTATACTCAAAGTGTGGAGATGTGCATGTTTAAAAAGAGGCGGAACAGAAATGTGCAACATGAACAAAGGATTTACAGTATTAAATATGATCTGCATTAATGAGTCTTTCTGTGAGTCAGTAGAATTGAGTTTCCTTCATTTCTTTACTGATTCTGAGGCTTATAATAGATAACTTCCCGTCAAAACACCCCTGAAGTGCTGCAGGATTCTCCGAGTCATAAACAGTTATTCCTGCAAACGTTTCCACAGCTGATGTCACGTTAAAATCAGCTGGCACTCGTTAGCTTCAATAATCGTCTCTCAGACTGAGCTCTCCTTTGTTGTCCTCTAACAGACGGCTGCCTCATGAATGATCTCTTTTCTCCAGGTGGTCTTTCATGCTATTTTTTAATGTCACCTGATATAAGCAGACACCAGCTGTCTTCCCCTCTTCCTCTTCCTCTCCTTCTTTCTTTGTCGCCTGTCACGATGTTCAATGAGTCTCCGCCTGCTGACCTTTTGCTTTGACGTCTCCATTTTGCCTCAGATAAATCACGTGTGCATTTTAACTCAAACTGTTGAAGAGTATTGGTTTACAGGAAACAACAAAAGAGGTTTTCTTTCTTTCTTCAGACGTCAAGACCCACCTTTAGAGTCCTGGGCTAATTTGGCCATTTTCGCATACCTTTGATTTGTCTTACTAAAGCCCGTTAAGAAATGTTTAGCTAGTCAATGTTTGGTATCTATTTGTTTAAAGGTCCCATGTCATGCTTTTCCGGTTATGACCCGTCCCCTTGTGTGTTATGAAGCTTCTGCATGTAAACGGTCTGCAGAGTCACAAACCCTCAAAGTACACCCTGTAGCGAGTAAAACTCTAACACAGAAAAGACCTGTCTATGCTGCCCCAGAACGCCTCGTTGGACATTTCTCTTTTTCCATTGTTTTCTTCTTGGGTATAGTGACGTATTTGGGTATAGTGACGTAACGTAACGTCCGCGGAGCCGTTACGTTTGGAACAATCTGCGGACTTCCTCACACACACACACTCGGCGGGACGTTGCGAGGAGCGGGACACTGTGAGCTGGCTCACTGGTGTGGGGTCGGCGAGACAGCGAAACTCAGCCTGGGCACACACACAAACTCCCAGCCAGGCTGCGGGTGTGTGTGTGTGTTTCGGGCTGGGTTTCGCTGTGTCTCGCAGACGGCCACTGGGCTCACAGGGAGGGGGGGGGCAGGAGCTCCAACAAGCCGTTAGGACAGAGAGTGAATACACATTCTATACAGAGATGCTGTATGAGAAACCAATGTGAGTTTGGAACATTGAACAATATAAATCTATTCTAGTAGACCTCAACAATGGAAATATGATCCGTAGAAATGGCCATGACATGGGACCTTTAAGACAACCTCACCTATATAAACTGATAGTTATTTTCTACATTTTGACATACTATATGAACATTTTGGACTCAAAACCGCACATAAAACGTTGAAACATATTTTGAAAATGATATTATTTGTTACTCTGGTTGTTACCTGGGAGGGGGAGATAGTGTTGTTTTTATTTCTTCTAAATTGTGTCAGTGTGATCCTACTTCCTCCTACTCTTAGGCTGTTATACCTGCAGTGCAATACTCTTTTAATTACCTAATTCATATCCACTTTTTAATGCAATTTATAGCTTTTTACGCTATTTCTTAACTATTTATTCCCCCTGTATGATTGTTTATTACTGCTATGTTTTTATCGTATGTCTGTTTTCATTTCCTGCACACTGTGACAGTTTCACTCCAAAACCTCGTTGTTTATTTCTTCTCTATACTATCACTGTGCTCAGTTTACACACCAGTTTAAGCGTCTTTCTTTCCCGTATTTCCTTCCACTAACGGCACATTTAAACGTCCCCAGAGCTGTCGGAGGACGGAGGCTTGGAGGTGGAGTCGGAGGACGAGCTTTGTGGCTCTCGCTCGTCTCTTGAGCGCCAGGGACATCGTGGAAACACAACGGTGCACGTGTGCTGGCATCGAAACACCAGCGTCTCCATGGTGGACTTCAGTGTCGCTGTGGAGGTAATGGACGTCTCTTTAATCCACACAACACACACCTGTTACTAATGTGTGTGTTTACCTCTGCGTGTCCTTCTCTAAAGGCAAAGAGACGGTGATGTAATGTCCTTTGTCTCCCTTTTACTCCTCCATCTTCTACTCTCACGGAGCAATATCGTTTTTTGACCAAACTTACCTGAGACGTATTTTAGTTGGAGTCAAGCTCATTGCTACTTGTGGATATATACATTTTTGGATTAGACCGAACTACAATCTCGTTTCCTTTGTCCATCTACGATCTTTTTGTTGACTCTTCTTCTCTCCTGTGTTTCAGAACCAGCTGTCTGGAAACCTTCTGAGGAAGTTTAAGAACAGTAACGGCTGGCAGAAACTCTGGGTCGTCTTCACCAACTTCAGCCTGTTCTTCTACAAGTCACACCAGGTGAGATACAGACAGGTCTAAAACCACCAGACTCAGGGACAGTTTCATCCTGTAACACTATTAAACACCTGAACCTTTGAAACAACATCCATAAACATTCATCTGTTTGCATCTTGCAAATATGGGATATGTACAAGAACAGAATATGAAATTAAATAATAGCTAATGTGCAAATGACAATCAAGCCTTGAATTGAATTGATATTACACCGGGATCAAGTTTTGCTATTGCTCTGATAAGGGGAAAATGGTCGATGTTTAAAGGTGATTTCCTCTGCTCACAGGACGAATATCCTTTGGCCAGCCTTCCTCTGCTCGGATACTCCGTCACCGTACCCGCCGAGTCGGAGAACATCCACAAAGACTACGTGTTCAAACTCCACTTTAAATCCCACGTCTACTACTTCAGATCGGAGAGCGAGTACACCTTCGAAAGGTACAGTATTATTGAAGATAGATGGATACAAAATATTCATAAAAACACAAGCTTCTATAGAGACCCTGGAAAGCTCCAGATACCATCTGGGAGCTTTTATTTTGAAAACCCAGCTTCTATTGAGACCCTGACAATGCCAAGATAACACTTGGGAGCTTTTATTTTGAAAACCCAGCTTCTATACAGACCCTGTAAAGCCCAAGTTAGCATCTGGGAGCTTTTATTTTGAAAACCCAGCTTCTATACAGACCCTGTAAAGCCCAAGTTAGCATCTGGGAGCTTTTATTTTGAAAACCCAGCTTCTATAGAGACCCTGTAAAGCCCAAGTTAGCATCTGGGAGCTTTTATTTTGAAAACCCAGCTTCTATAGAGACCCTGTAAAGCCCAAGTTAGCATCTGGGAGCTTTTATTTTGAAAACCCAGTTTCTATAGAGACCCTGTAAAGCTCAAGATACCATCTAAGAGCTTTTATTTTGAAAACCCAGCTTCTATAGACCCTCTTAAAGTAAAAAATGTGCATATTGTACTATAATATACTTAGCCTAGTTAATGAAATCTATGCAATGGACATCTTTTGTTATGTATGCCCTGTGAATAATTTCTTAAAATGCAAATATTTGTTGGCAAACATAAATGAATGAATGTCAGTAATAACACATCCCAATGTGTTCCAGGTGGATGGAGGTGATCCGCAGCGCCACCTGCTCCGCCAGCCGCCCCCTGCTGAGCTCCAGGAAGGATTACTGATGAAAAGACTCTTATTATAAACACAGAATCACTGTTAACACCTCTTAATAGTTGATTCTCACACACATCACAACCACGTATCACAAGTGTCTATGTAGAGATCCACGATGTAATTAATCATGTCCTTTTTTCACTTGCTCCAAACTGGCAACACCATCTGGCAACATTTTCATTTACCTTTTTGTGCCGTCGAGTGTTGTTCACATGCACACACACATTTAATATTCATGTCATGTTTACAGCAGAGTGGGTTTTATGTTTGGGAGGAAATACGTGGGGTTTCCTCGAAGTATTTGGGAGCATGACTTGGGATGAAAACATGTATATAAGAGTCTTAAATAAGACCTAAACGCACGTGTGCATGTGAACACACCCACAGTGTTTTCTATATATAATTAGATTTATGAAATGTGATGCCAGTTTGGTCTCGATTATAAAACATCCGTCTATTTCTTTTTCTAAGGCGACTTTTTGTACAGTACTTTGATACACTGTGAAATGTTCTTTTTAATCATGGTTTCCTGCTTTGTTTAAAAGGACATATGAGTACCACAAATGCTTCCAACGCCATCAGAGATTTCCCTGGTCTGTGTGCCAAATATCTGATGTACTTCCTAAGTGTCTGGATTTGTAATATTCTAAATAAAGATACGAAGAGATGTGTTGATATGAGAAAAAACGGGACGAGTCAGAAATTGATGTTTTGTGTTTATTACGACAACCAAACCAACATTTCCAGAAGAACAATTATTAATAAAAGTAAAGCAGAATGTATTCAAGTCACTTGAATGCTATGAATATTAAATGCTGGTTAACCTGGAGTGCAAAACATACAGAAAAATTGTGATTATTACGCATTTTACACCAATACAGCTCTAAAAGGAGTTACATCTTGACACAGTATTGATTCTTAGTGTATTAGTATTACAAATAGGTGATGTCAGTAAACATGTCAGTAAACATTTGTTGAGGGTATGTCAATGTAGACTGTGGGTGCGTTTCACTTCGGTTAAATGGATTCCTTGCGACTAGTCCCTCCCACCAGGGAAGCATGGAGAGACGCGAGGAAACCACGAGAAGCAGGGAAATTAGTTTTAAGAGCAATGGGACGTCGTGTCCTCCGGAGCGTCACGTGAAGCGACGTCCGTTTGTGATGACGCCGCACAGCTGATCGTCTTGACAGCAGCCAGAAATGAAAAATAAGAGAAGTGAGACGCACCCTGTGTTTACTTTCAAAAATCCCCAAATGTTGTGTTTCAACTAGGGATGCTCCGATCGCCGATCGCCGATCCAATCGAGTGGGCGGGGCCTAAATGGAAGATTTAAACATCACTTTAAATCTTCCATTTAAAGTGATGTTTAAAACTCAGTTAATGGGGCTCATTCACTGGAGCTTCCACAAACAACAATCAACTTAATTATTACATTCAAATTATGTATATTATTCAAGTTTACATTCACTTTGGATAATACCACGGGAGAAATTAGCAAGCGCTCTCTTTTCCTCTCTCTCCCTCTCTCTCTCCCCCTCTCTCCCTCTCCCTCTCCTGACAGCCAGTCAGTATCGTCTCATGCAGCTCGCTGATCCAGTAATGTGCGAGGCCGACAGTGAAGAATAAACATATTTATAACTAGTTTAGCTTGTTCCAGAGGTAGATAAAATAGCTAAGTGTGTTAGGTCTAACTCTTGTGTGTTTCGCTCCGCTCACCGGTCCGTCACAGCGGGTGGAGCTGCAGGATTTCTGCTTCCTGCTTCACACACACGTTGCATACCGCTATTTTACTGTCTTTTTCGGACACCTTAAAATAATGCCAGACCGGTGAAGCCATTTTGGCGAGCTTGTTTTGCCGCGTACAGAGAAAAGTGTCATGTATTTTACGTCATGCGATCGGCCCTCGCGATCGGCATGTTTAGAGAGCACCGATCGATCGGTAGAGAGTGAGTATCGGCAGATCTCGATCGGTGACCGATCGATCGGAGCATCCCTAGTTTCAACTAAAAAGCCAGTTGTTTTTGCAGATAGAGATACCGTAGAAACTTGACCACGTTTTAAACATTTTTCTACTGATATTGGGTTAAAAAGTAGTGAAACGAATCAAGTTAGAAACCGACGTAGGAGTTCAAGTAAGTGATTTTTCTTAGAGGTAGAAGTGAGGAAAACCTAGTGGATTTCTTTAACTATCGACTCCAGATCTGTTCTGATTATCCCACGAAAATCAGTCTTGTGCTTCTCTAGTATGATACTCCAGCCCATGATCTCCTTTTGAGTCGTAGCTGTCGTAGCGACGCAGCGAAAGCCAGTCCGCCTCGTATGAAGTCGTGCTGTAAATAAACGCTTCTGTGATACTTCCTGATGCCATCTTCTCCTTTTCCTCTTCTCCGACCCACTCCTCCACCTCCAGTTTGACCTCAGTGCGTTGATACAAGGTGGGAACGCTCTCAAATTCGTCCAGGAACTTCAGCATCTTCTCGTCCACTTTGTAGATCTCGCCCTTGATCCGGTGACCTTGACCCGGGACGTTGAGGAGGAAAGGGATGTTGTGCTTGCCGGCGATAACCAGCGGGTGTTTTTGGGCAGTGCATGCAGACGCCAGGAACTTCGCCTTCCCGTTGGCGACGTCTAACATGCGGTAATAGTTCGGCTGGCCCCTCTTCAGGGTGCCGTAGACGAAGACACGAGCCATGGGGTTTCACCTGGTTAAATAAAGGATAATATCACTCGTCAATATTAAGGATCCATGTATTTGTGATCCTCTCCAGAATGGAAGTAGTCATCACATACAGAGCATCAACTAGTTCCTGAACAGTGTCCTTCACATGCTGATATCCAACAGAGGGAGTTACACAGTCACAAGATGGAGGAATAGAAAGCAGTATTCAATGTTTACTTCAGATTAGCTCCACGTCAGAAATGATCATGCTTGTCATATGTCTATCTCCATAGAGGCTGAATCATCATGTTAATCACATAGCTATCATATGCCTCAAACAGTCCTGATGCTCTTCTAGGTAATCATACATCCTGTCATGTACACAGCTACCGTTGGAATACCTTTGTTATCATGTGGACTCTGTGTGTATGTTATATGAAATATAAGACTGCTTTACATGTTTGTGTATCCCATGATTGCTGCTGCCTTTAGAAATACATTTTCTAATCTTAATGCTATTTATCTGGTTAAATAATGATATGAAATCACGTGTCAGCAATGCAACAAGAGATACTAAAGGAAAGTGAAAGAGAATACATGTCCAAAACAGCTCACGTGAGGATTTGCAGAATTAAATACTGGAATATTCAATGAGCTCAGGGACCGAAAACATAAAGAATAGCAGTAACAAATAAAAAGAAATGTCATAATTCATGTTGGTTTTGAGCAGATTCTTCAGATGTTTAAGATGCAGAAGTGTCTCTGACTTTATTGAAGCTCTTTGGACTTTGTTACTGCTGAGTACATCGGCTCAATAATCAATTCACTGTCAGAGATTATCTGTAAAACGCACTGTTGTTTAAAGATCAGTGAAGATGTGAAAGGTCATTCAACAGCACAGACAGTATGTGGAGAAAGAATGACTGATCTTACAAATAGAAAAGTGTGAAAAGTAGTAGTAATATATGTTAAAAGTACCTCAACAAAAAATGCGAGAATTCAGAATATGATAATATAACTGGATTATAGTTATTAAAGGTAGGGTAGGTACATTTGAGAAACCGGCTCGATATCGCTAGAATTTGAAAATACACAACCGGAGAAAATCTGCCACTTCCTCCTCCAACACAGCCGGTTTCTCAAACTTACCTACCCTACCTTTAAGGCATTCAAGCCTCAATAATGTAACGTTGTATCTGGTAAAGGTAAAGCCCATTTTAACATATAAAACATACACCTCTCCGATTATTATTGATGTAAAGCTGTCAAATGAATGTAGTAGAAATGTAGGGGAAACACATGGCTTTTTTAACCTTGCAATAAGTAGTCATTTGATTTGCATCCTATTCAATGGACGATGACCGTGGAAACAGCACGTTTTAAGCACACAAGGGTTATGCAACTCAAAGCAGCTAAAAGCGTTATAATATATCCTGTAGAATTACACGAATGCAGTGTTATCTTACCAGGAATGTGATGCAGATATTGACACGCAGATTTATTTGATGTAGGTTTGAGAAAGTGCATCCGGGGCTGCGTTTCACTTCGGTTAAATGGATTCCTTGCGTCCCTCACTTGCGTCGTTTCCCTGCGACTAGTCCCTCCCACCAGGGAAGCATGGAGAGACGCAAGGAAACCACGAGAAGCAGGGAAATGAGTTTTAAGAGCAATGGGACGTCCTTTCCTCCGGAGCGTCACGTGAAGCGACGTCCGTTTGTGATGACGCTGCACAGCTGATCGTCTGACAGCAGCCAGCTCTGTCCCCGTTATTTTCACAAACACCCCCGCCTCTGTTAGTACACATTTACTGACACAAACATTTGTATCATCTGTTGTAGACCCAAATAAATCAAATCAAATAAGAACTCATTCTCAAAAAAGATAAACGCCATTCTTAAAATGTATAAACGAACAATAGTTGGATTAATATTGATTAGAGTGCACAATAGAAATAAAATAATTCAGAGAAGAAAAAGAGATATGTTATCTATCAAAACCCAGTTAGATTAACATTCATTGGATTGCACACTTTGTTTGTGTGGATATGTAGCAAATTAACATGTTAAATAGCACTTAATGACTGACTGAATGGAAATGACAATAAATGAACATGTAAAACGGAAAAAGCGATCATCAAAATGTTTCCAATAAATGAATAAAATAATTTTTGACCACTTTGTTGTTCAGATATATCACATATTTGTAACTGAATGATGCATGAATTGAAACAAAACACAGTATGAACTGAGGAGTGAGTCCCGTGAGTTTCATGTGTTTTCTTCACTCCGCTGGGAAACTCTGCTCTCAAGCATGAGATCAGTGCATGCGCTGCATCGTCCAATCAGTGAGCGATACACAGTAAGGGGGCGGGGCGAGTGTCTGAGGATTTCATCGAAGTCTGGTGGTTCCTCGATTATAGCTCCTCCATTATCGCTCCTCGCTCCTCGCTCCTCGGTCCTCCGGCAAAAATAAGGCCATTGGGACGCTACTCAAGATGGCGCAGACAAATCAACTTCCGGTGAGACCGAGACCGAGGAGCGAGGAAATGAAAAATAAGAGAAGTGAAACGCAGCCCGGATAAATCGTATGACATGCATCTGCTAGTATCCATCTACAGAGCGCATGCGCAGTGAAAATGTTGTACTCATTTAAACCAGCAGAGGGCGCCAAAACGACGAGAAAAAACATTTGTCATTATTATTATTATTTGTATTATATATCGTTTTTATTATATATATGTGCTATTACAATTATTATTAATATTGTCTTGTTTATGATTCATATACATATCAATAAGATGGCACTAAAGAAAAGCAATTAAGGGGCCAATTAAATGTTAAAGTTAAAAACCTGAGTGAATAATATGCTATTATGGAAAAAACATAGTATTTATAACTCAAAATAATGACCTAAATATGTGATTTAAATACACTATAAAACATGGCTCTTATATTCACAGAGGGCCGTAAACTAAAGGGGAAAAACAAACAAACAATGTTCAATAATTAATCAACTAGAATACAATGGAGATGTGCACCGCTGGTCCCATTAAAACCCACTTAACACAACAGAAATATTACAAAGCCATGCAACGACAATAGCAGAGGACAGCATTAAAAATAAATACACTTAAACTTAATTCACAAGTTCAGCACATCTTTACTACTTTAGTAAATAGGAGCCAAAAGGACAACGGCATCATAACTGTCCATTCAGCCAATTAACACGCTGGATCCCAGTTTACAAATAAAGGACATTACTGTGGCGTTATCTCAGGATCTCATCATACCTGAGTTGAAACAGCTTTTAGTCCTTGTTGACCTGAACTGGGAATGCTTTTCAAAATAACACTCCCTCCTCAAATTGAAGTGACTTCACAAGATGATATGTAGCCTTCTGTTACAAAAAAGATGCTCAGAACATATGAAATAATGAATAAAATGTTAAATGTGTTGTTGATGATAAGAGAGAGTTATAACAGAAAGAGACAGAAAAGACCTGCATCCGATGGATGGATCAACTGGATTTGGTGGTAGTAATTGCTCATTTTATGAAGAAGGATAATATATATGTGTTATACATTAAATCAAATCATGGCATACATTGCAAATCGAGTATACAGTATACAAAAACATTTTAAACTGCAGGTTCTTTAAATGTCCACAAGAAGGCGTTCTTTCAACAACCGCATCTCTTTGGTGGCCGCTGATTGGTTGATCAGATGACGTCAGCACGCCTGCAGCCTAGCAGCAGAAAAGACGACGTAAACAAAGCAGTCAGCTAAGTACCGTTAGCTCTTGTTTCGTGAGTAAAATACGTATTATATCTGATTTAGATTATAAATCAAATACTGGTTTATATTATCAGTGAGCACAGCTACTAATCTGCTTAGTAACAGACTCACTCGTGTGTTGAGATTGAAATCAAACGAGTTAACAAGAAACCGTTAGCTACTTTAGCTTTAGCTAGACACGGATTTATGTATTTATGCAATGGATTTGATTTTGAATAACGTTCATCGATCAGCTGGATAAACCCAGTGGTTTGGATTTGATCATCTGGACTGAGATGTTTAGTCTGATGGCGAACTGCTGCAACTGGCTCAAACGCTGGCGAGAGCCTGCAAGGTAAATCAAGTTTTATTATTAGTATTTATTAGTATTTACTGCTACTTTGTACTTCTACACCACTAGTTCAGAGGTAAATGGGGTACTTTTATTCCTCTAAATGTATTTAATAGCTTTACTTACTTTACTGATTTGGATTAATGATGTTAGATATATATACCAGCTTTGATAACACTTCGATGCATCAGTAATTATAAAACATATCATATATATTATTCTGAAATGGACCAATCTGCACAATGACTACTTCTACTGTCGCTACTTTAACTATATGTTTATGCTAATACTTTTCTACTTTTACTTGAGGAACATTTTGAATGCAGGACTTTTACTGTTTTTAATTTTTATTTGATTAATTAATTAATTTGACAGGGGCACAGTGCACATTGATTAACATTTCTGTAAATGCGCCAGAGTTAGCCAACAGGCTATTTTTCATGTTGAAAGTCATCCTAAAAAAAAATGTCACTTCAAATGACAGGTAAATACAATCAGTAAAACAACATTCAACATAGATGTTTATATTATGATAAAAATAATCTATAAACACTGCCTGTCTGCTTTGTGATATTCCCAAAGCAGACAGATAGCAACAGGTCAAGGCACATGTGTACAAACAGAGCGTTGTAAAGTGCAGATTGTGTCAGTGTTGACAGAGCTGATTTCCCACTAACCATGTTTTTAAGTTAGATTTGAATAAAGTGCAGGTGTTTTGTTCTCTAATCGTTACTGGGATTGAGTTCCACTGTTGTGCAGCTTTAAAAGAAAATGAAGATTGGCTGAATGAACTCTTCCTTAATGGAACAACGCAATCTCCTCTTGTTGCAGCTCTTGTTGACCTAGTTACAGGTGTGCGTATGGTGATGTCTGTAACAGAGTATTCCTACACTCTGGTACTTCTACTTTTACTCAAGTACAAGCTCTGAGTACTTCTAATTTTACTCAAGTACAAGATCTGAGTACTTCTACTTTTACTCAAGTACATGATCTGAGTACTTCTAATTTTACTCAAGTACCAGATGCGAGTGCTTCTACTTTTACTCAAGTACAAGATCTGAGTACTTCTACTTTTACTCAAGTACAAGATCTGAGTACTTCTACTTTTACTCAAGAACAATATCTGAGTACTTCTACTTTTACTCAAGAACAATATCTGAGTACTTCTACTTTTACTCAAGAACAATATCTGGTACTTCTACTTTTACTCAAGTACAAGATCTGAGTACTTCTACTTTTACTCAAGAACAATATCTGAGTACTTCTACTTTTACTCAAGTACAAGCTCTGAGTACTTCTACTTTTACTCAAGTACAAGCTCTGAGTACTTCTACTTTTACTCAAGTACAAGATCTGAGTTCTTCTACTTTTACTCAAGTACAAGATCTGAGTTCTTCTACTTTTACTCAAGTACAAGCTCTGAGTACTTCTACTTTTACTCAAGTACAAGATCTGAGTGCTTCTACTTTTACTCAAGTACAAGCTCTGAGTACTTCTACTTTTACTCAAGTACAAGATCTGAGTGCTTCTACTTTTACTCAAGTACAAGATCTGAGTACTTCTACTTTTACTCAAGTACAAGCTCTGAGTACTTCTACTTTTACTCAAGTACAAGCTCTGAGTACTTCTACTTTTACTCAAGTACAAGATCTGAGTACTTCTACTTTTACTCAAGTACAAGATCTGAGTACTTCTACTTTTACTCAAGTACAAGATCTGAGTACTTCTACTTTTACTCAAGAACAATATCTGAGTACTTCTACTTTTACTCAAGAACAATATCTGAGTACTTCTACTTTTACTCAAGAACAATATCTGGTACTTCTACTTTTACTCAAGTACAAGATCTGAGTACTTCTACTTTTACTCAAGAACAATATCTGAGTACTTCTACTTTTACTCAAGTACAAGCTCTGAGTACTTCTACTTTTACTCAAGTACAAGATCTGAGTTCTTCTACTTTTACTCAAGTACAAGATCTGAGTTCTTCTACTTTTACTCAAGTACAAGATCTGAGTGCTTCTACTTTTACTCAAGTACAAGATCTGAGTACTTCTACTTTTACTCAAGTACAAGATCTGAGTACTTCTACTTTTACTCAAGTACAAGATCTGAGTACTTCTACTTTTACTCAAGTACAAGCTCTGAGTACTTCTACTTTTACTCAAGTACAAGATCTGAGTACTTCTACTTTTACTCAAGTACAAGCTCTGAGTTCTTCTTCCACCTCTGATTTGATTTATTAGGTTAAAGCAGGTTAATATAATACACTTGTATTCAACCACTGAGCGATCAGACAGATCTAAGCTCAGTGGATTCTGACCAAGGTACAAAGTGGGATATTATTCATCTCAATCATGCATGTATTGCAGCTCTCTTGTTCCATCACAGCCAATACAATCTCAAGAAAGCCCTTTGACTATTCTAGAGGGAACAAGATATACACTGCACACACTTTTCAACACTTTGCAAACACAGAAATGTGCTGACAA